CCTCTAAAGGGAAGCAATGGAGTCTCAAGTAATCCCTCCAATTGGATACTTTCTCAGTTTTCACATTGAAACTGGTGGAGAGTCTCGTCGTTTTCATAGGATCATCGGAGTAATTCTTCATCCTCTCACTCTCCGGTAAGTGGTAGAATTCCCTTGATATACTCAACATCTTGTCAATCACCTCTTTTGGAACTCCATGGTTCTTAACCTTCACAGGATTAAAAAAATCAACCTAATGTAATTGGAGATGCATTTTATGTATGTGAAATGGATAATGTACCTGAAAGAAGCCATAGTGTTTGCAGGCCTCAGCTATCTCTTTGATTACTTTGGAATGGTCAGGTCCATGTAGGCCTTGGAGATCAATGAGAGGAATGGAGTAATCAAGAGTAACCTCACTGAGATTGGGACGATCGGATTCTGGACGAACATAATTTGCAGGGAGAGAGCTTATACTTGAGACAAGATCGGATACTAGTGGCTTTGTTGGGGCTGCCATTGCTAATGCTGTTGCTGCTACTGTGCTGCCCCTTTTTCACCTTGGGTAATGCTTTCTATGGACTGCAAATTTATAGGGCCAAGAGGGAGTATTTTCTTCTTTTTTTTTTGAACAAATTTGCAAGGGTCAGATTCGAACCATTGCCTTGAGATGGGAGAATGGACTTATACGTGACCTGACGTCACTGAGCTTTCGGGCCCAAGTGTGGGCCAAGAAGGAGTATTAGTTCAAGGTTTAAATGTAATTTTGACTTCATGTATTTAAGATCACAGTAAATGTAAAATTTTACAGGTTTTTTATTTTTATATTTAAAAAAAAATCATATATGACAGATAAAAATGTAATAAATGTATTATATAATAAAAAAATGACTATCTATCATTTATATCTATCTCTTAATTCACATATTATTATTTTCTTAATTGCTTGAATAGAGAAAACTCTTCTTCTCTTTTCTAACTAGAATTATCAAACTTAGGTTGTTGAGATATATTTATTTTTTGAAAGAAAGAAAAAATTATTATTAAAAATAGATAATAAAATGAAATATATAAAAAACATGATATTAAATAATTATTTATAAATATTTTAATAAGTTTAAGAAATCTTTTAATACTTTGTAATAAAAATTTACAAAATTAAAATTATTCTAATGAATTTAAATTATTTGATTTAAAATATAATTAGTTTTAAATTTTTTTAATATGTATCTTTAAAGGTGCAATTATTAGATTCTTTTCACATTAATTAGTATTAAAAAATATATAATTGCTATTAAATTTATCAATAACGTCAGTTGTCACATGGATTAATTTAATCAAATAATTACGTAAAGAAAGGTCAACTTTTATTTTTTTAATATTAATTAATATAAAAAATACAATAATTTAACCTTTAACATGCATGTGCCATAAGGATATAAATTAAAAAAATTCT